ACTAGTGTGTCCTGGAACATAGTGGCCTTGGTGGAAGAAACAAAATCCAGTGGAGAGTAGGCAGAGATACCAGAGGTGCCAGCACAGAGCAAGCTGCAGAATCATCTGCTCTCGGAATAAATTAGTGTTTGCTTGGGAACATAGAAGCTGGGAACCAGTTCTCGTGTGGACATGGTGTAACCACATCCATCACACCCTCTTCTGCTTTGAGCACCCCTCACCTTCCCTCTGACTTTGGGAGACTCGGCTCTGTTGGCAGTGGGTGCACCTGACTCCAGCAAGACATTCTGTGATGAGAGGCTTGTTCAAGGCCGTGTAGCATACACAGGAGAACAAGAAGTGTTCTTGTTTTATATAACAAGCTACTCCCCACTCCATCATTACACTCAGGAGGAAGGCCTAGACTTGCCCCATCTGTGTAGCCACAACTTGATATTGAGACGGCAGCAATGATGTGAGGGTGTGTGTGGGGGGGGTATGGGACTGAGAAAACTGAAGAGAAACCCAAGTGGAAGCTCCGATAACCTCACAGATAACCCCCCCCCCCACCATGGAGTCTGTGTGTGTGTGTGTGTGTGTGTGTGTGTGTGTGTGCACATGCGCACTTGTGTGTGTGGCATGTGCTCTACCTTGAGCTGTACCCCCTAAACCAGTTTTTATTTTTTTGTTTGCTCTTTTAAAAAGAGTATGTATGTAATGTTGAGTGCATGAGTGATGATTATTTCTCACAGTATTAAATAGGTACTGTCCCAGTAATATGTGGCAGCTTGGCAGTATATTTTTAAAAAGTCTAAACTACATCTATTTGGGGAAGAAGACAGGAAGTGGGTGGAGAGTAATTTTAGAATTGTCAGACATCAGAATACAGAATAAGAAGATGAAATTCTGATGGAATCAGATATGAAATGGTTTGTACTTGTCATATCATTTTGACATACAGTATATAGGTTTCTATATATAAAATTACAAGAACTGGAGGAAGCTAAGTGAATTAACATTTTAAAAGCTTATAAAGTATCAAATATACACTAAAATAGAGGGGGACACCATCCCAGTATGTGTAGTACCCAGCTTTAGTGGTGATCAATATGGAGAGGGACCTTTATTTCACAAATGTTAAATTCGTATTTGTGAAGCTATAGCATCACATAGCTGACCAGTCTGTTTTTAGTTTTCCATCCCTGTCCTCACCTTCATTGCCAGCCACTGACCAACATTGTCACTGTGTGTTCCAGAATGCTATAAGTCGAATCATTCACTATTGCACTTTTTATGTCATTTCTTCACATATTGAAGATATTTTTAGTTCTTTAATATCTGGTTCATAGATTTGCTCCAGCGGGCCCAGTAACGTCTCCATCATGAGACTTGTTGTTACTGTATCATTTTTAACCCTTTGACCCATCCTGTAAGTAGAAACACATTCACACAATAACAAATCCTTTAAAGTTAATCTTTATTTTCTTCCTACTTGCATCTGCTCAGACTCTTTAGCTCATGTTTGGTAATTATTTTATGGTGGTGGCACATAATTACAGAGAAATGTCATGGAAAGAGACATTTTCTTCAATTCCTTCCCCTCTGACACAACTTTTTGTCATTGCCCATAAGAAGTATGTTGTAAGGAAGATGGCAACAATTATTCAGACTTAATAGATTCCTCAGAAAGAGCACTGTGTGTTTCCAGGAAAAAAACGGTGACTGCTATTGCCAACAGTTCATACACAGCAAAGTGCACCATTTCCTGTTTTTTTGTTGTAGCGGTCCCACTCTGGAATTCCCCGTTGGCCCATGGTCTAAAATCCATTTGATATCTTACATTTGAAGCATCCCAGGCCAAAAAAGGGTGTGTTTGTTTAGTGTCTCCATGTTATACCTGAAAGTAATGTTTTTAAAAAGTATTTAAAAGTATTTAATTACATTTGGAAGTCAAGGTTGAACCTTAAGTGACTTGATTTCTTTGTTAAAAATGTTCTTGGGGGGGGGGGGGCTGGGTAGTACAGCGGGTAGGGCGCCTGCCTTGCAGTGAGATGGGTCTAATCCCTGTCACTACACATGGTCCCCCAAGCTCCAAGAGGAGCAATCCCTGAGTGAAGAGCCAGGAGGAAGCCCTGAGCACCACCCAAAAACTGTCTCTTAGGTAGGAGATAGTACTTCAGTGAAGGCACTTGCATTATAGGCCACCAGCCCTGTAATCTTTTCTCCTCTTATGGAAACATAATTCAGTCTTTTTTTTTTTAACTTTCCCTTCTTTCTGTAGCTTTTCTTCTCCTCTGCTTTCCTTCTTCTTGTTAAGGAGACAGGACTTGATCCAGAGTTGTCTGATTTCTCCGCTCTGCCCTCCTTCCCCGCCCCCCCCCCCCCCCCCCCGGGAAAACAGACCTGCAAGCTCCCCTTGCTGTGTCTTTTCCTCCCACTGCTCCATGGCATACGCTGCGCACTGTGGCACACCTGTCATGCTGCTGGATTTGTTCTGTCTCATCCAGTGTCCCCAGCTTCCCTGCAGTCTTAGAGTTCTGCTGTTAGCTTCTTCCCAGGACATCTCACAACCTCTGACATTATTATACTGTGATTTGACTTCTTAGCCCCTTACTTTTCATCTCTGCTTTATTGCAATCCAAATAATCTCCTTTCACCAACATTGCTGTAGTAGGGGACCGGAGCCATAACACCGCATATAGGGCTCTGGCCTTGCATGCAGCGACTCCGGTCCAGTCTCCGGCACTAGGGGCTGGCCAAAACCCAAAAACATCACTATAATAACTATCGTTGTTGGGTCCTTCTACCCTGTTTACCACCTGTAGCCTGCAGGAAGTATCTTTTAAAACCAACTCTCTCTTAAAGCCTTGCTCCTTCTTTGTTATTTGTGAGGGTTTGGTAGTGCCCTCATTTCACAAACGTGGGCTCAGAAAGATCCATTTGGGACTTATTTTGGGAAATGTTTCTGGGAGAGATGGGTGGCCTGAGGACACTGTGATGACTCGACTCCTGTTATCTTCCTGCAGTGAGTGAAGTTAGAATAAATCACTTAACAGGAGATGTGGGCCAACTGGAGCTCTCTGCTCAGCCCCAGACACACCCGTCTGGGGGGAAATGATGCAGATTCAGAAGTGAATGAAGTTGCTTCTGTGTGTTCATAGTGCAGGGGATGAAGAGTAACCTGGAAGTAGAGTTTATTCTCAGAAACATCCATCCTCTCCTTCTGAGGCTAGAAGCCCCCGCACAGCGTGCGCTGCTGAGGAACAGTCTTAGGCCCGCCAGGCCACTGTCACTGGGACCGAACTGCTGTTCTGAGCGAGCCCTGTCACAGCTGATGAATGTTTCAAAGGAAAAACTGGCTTCTCTCTTTTGGGTAGGGTAGGGAGTCTGGGGCCACCAGGGGCACACCTGGTAGAGCGGGGGCTGTACATATGCACTTCAGCCTTTGGACTATCTTCCTGACTCCAGCTTCAGGCTTCTTTTTGGATTCTAATCTTCTACGATAAAAACCAGAGGTAAGGGGGCTTGGGTGACAGCACAGGGGGGAAGGTGCTTTCCTTGTACGTGGCTGACTTGGGTTCAATTCCTGGCATCCCATGTGGTGTCCTGACCATTGCCAGGAGCAATTCCTGAGTGCACAGCCAGGTGTAACCCCTGAGCAGCACCAAGTGAAGCCCAAAAACCAAATCGATAAAAAAAAAAAGTCGTAAGTAAAATAGTATACAGTGGCTTCTAAAAGTAATATGTGAACCTTGCTTCAAAATTCTACTAGAAGTAGAAATAGACACAAAATATTATGTGCAAAAGTAACCTAATCAAACAAGTTCAGACTTTGCAATAGTGTTTTGGCAAACTAACTTAAGGAACATAAACTCTACCTCTACACTCCCCCCAACGTTTTGCTTTTTGCAACTTGTTGACTGCAGTCCAAAAATACAATAAGATATTTTAAGACTACATTCATGTAACTTACTAGTGTTTTGGTTATGCATTCTCCATTGTGAATCTTGTGCTTAATTTATGACAGACTTTATCAGTAGGTTCAGTTAGATGAGAGGCACTGCATACAGAGTTTGGTACTGTCTTTGGTTTCAGACAACCTGTGGGGTCTCGGAACATATCCCCAACACAGGCAGGAATAGGGGAGTTCTGGGGTCTTGGAACATGTCCTCAGCACAGGTGGGAGTAGGTGAGTTCTGTTGGACTGGGACACTGTCAGCTGTGCGCCCACTCTCAGACGTTAAGGAATCATAAAATTTGGAGGCCGGTTTAAGAAAACTTTTATTTCTGTAAAATGTCAATCAGTGAAAAGCATCAAGGTACAGAAAATACCTCTATATGGGGGGCAGGATTCCCCAGACAGTAGCTGCAGTTGCTTGGAAAAGCCCCCCCTCTCCCCCCCAGCCTGTGGGTGCTCCGTAAGTGCCAGCCTGCCTGACAGTTTCATTCTTGGCCAGAACATGGTGAGACCAGCTCAGCCCTATGAACTACCTCACCCTGTGCTGAAAGGTGGGGGTACAATCTAAGCACTGTCAAAACAGAATGTTAACAAAAGCTAGAGAATAAGGACAGTCAGAAGAGTGTACTCAAATCATGCTGTATTCCTTGCTAACAGAGATAGTGACATCATTTTACATTTGTCTCATTGTGTTTAAAGAGTAAAACCTAATTTGTTACTATTACAAATATGTCAGTGGCCAAACACAGAAAAACAGTTTTAAGTTCTAATTAACAACCTGTTACTTTGCTTTGCCAAATCATTAATTTTTTATTTTTTTGTGTAGGGGTATTGTTATTTATTCGGCCATTGGTTAGGCTGACTGAATTGGGCATGAACTCCACCCAAATCATTTTGTGTCACAGATTTGGTACATGTCATCTTAAAGGGTAATTGTGATAGTTCAAGAGCCAGGTGTTTCTGTATTCTGGCTGGTTACTGAAGTCATTCATCGCAGAACGTAAATCCGTCAGAACAGTTTTTAACAAGACTACTTACCAACACACTCTTTTCCATGTTTTAGAAAAGGCGCCGGCGGATTGACCGAAGTATGATTGGAGAGCCCACGAACTTCGTGCACACGGCTCACGTGGGGTCAGGAGACCTGTTCAGTGGGATGAACTCAGTAAGTGGGGCTGGTGTGAGGTGCCATTGTGAATGATGACTCTAAATGAATTTATTGATTATGATATGGGGAAGAAGCATGGGGGAGTGAAGAAAATGAATCATGAAACAATAATCCTATAGTTTCTGTCAGATTCTTTTTCTCTGTCCTATACTGAAATGTCTTGTAGCTACCATTCTCCTCCCCTCCCTCTCCCCTCCTCCCCCATACTATAAAGAACTGTGAGTGGAAGTCCAAGTCCATGGCCCCTGACTTGGAGATCAGTTTATTGGACTTAATGAAAAAAAAATTTTCATTGCATTTACCTTATAAATTTTGACTTTTATGAGATTAAAATGCTTGTGATTTATTCATGATTGCAATACATGCTCATGCTGTAAGTGGAGGATTAGAATTTACACATATTCCTTATGTGCAAGGCTGCAAAAAGGATTGATTCAAAAAAAATTTTGGCCACACCCAATGGTGCTCAGGGCTTACGCCTGATGGTGCTCGCTCCCCATCTGCAACATGCAAGGCAAGCACCTATACCATCTCTCCAGCTTCTAAAAAAACCAGTTTTTGCTTCTTAATATAAAAGTCTCAGAATAAACTTTAGACTGTCTCAGCTAAAGTTTTTCAGTTTTAATTTTCATCTAAGAAAATAAAAAGGACTAACCTAGGAATTTTATCAGGACTCTGCCTCGTTTTGGCCATGAAAGAAGCCCCTAAGTATTTCCCTCAGATCTGAAAAGTAAACATATTAGGTGATGTGTTTCCAAACTCCTTAGGGTTCTGATAGTGAATAACGCTTCTATAAACAGAACTTTATGATTCATTAGGTACTCACTGGACAGCATTAGTAAAATACTTGAGAACAGACTTTTAAAATAGGTAGGTGGGTTTCCTGGATACAGCAAAGCCATTGTCACTTGAGTTACTAGGTAAGCAAAGGAATGAAATTTGTAGCTTCCTGGAAAGGAAGCAACTTGATTGTTTGAAAGTACTTCTTTCAGCTATCTATCCTTTTGTGGAAATATAAAAGGTGTCGGTTGCTATCAAAATAAAATTCAGTATCTCTGTTTCCTGGATCAGTGTGGAGTGAAAAGAAAAGGAATTGACTGATTATATGAGTACTGTGATACATGGATAAGATGGGTAGTTCAAGTATTAAAAAATTAAATAGAATTAAAAAATAACTTGTCTGGGCCCGTAGCGATAGCACAGTGGGGAGGGCATTTGCCGTGTACGCAGCTGACCCAGATTCGATTCTCAGCATCCCATATGGTCCCCTGAGCACCGCCAGGAGTAATTCCTGAGTGCAGAGCCAGGAGTAACCCCTGTGCATCGCCAGATGCAAAAAGCACCCCCCCCCAAAAAAAAAAAAAACAAAACTCATCTTCCCTATCTCAAGTTTGAGGGGAACGAGTGCAGCATTCAGTGCTTGGGCCCATGTGCCCCCACTTTGGTTTTTCAAAAAAAAGACATATAGGGGCTATATAGAAAGTATGGCAGGTAGGGTGCTTGCCTTGTACCCAGCACTCTGTATGGTCCCCCAAGCACAGCTAGATGTGGCCCAAAAATACAAATCTAAGTACAGAGGAACAAATACTAAGTGAATAGGTACAAATAAAAAATGGCCCCCCTCCCCATCTTGTTTTCGCATGTTTCAGAATTTTCTTTCAGATTCTTACCTGGCATATCAACATGAAAAGCCTGAATGTTGTATATGACTATGGCTTCTCATCAGTTTAGTTGAAACTTTAGGGTCATCTCTAGTAAGGGGGAAAAGGGGTGCCACATTTGTCTCCAACTATCCTCAAACCCTCACAGCCACCTGTAATTCCAAAGTACCATTGATCTCACTTGTATGTAAATCTCTGCTACAGTCTACAATATTGACAAAACAAAGTTGATCCTAAGAGTTGAGTGGCTGATGCCCAGGAAACAGCACTGCAGTATTGAATGGGGACGTGGCTGGTAGGGTTCCCTCCCCTCCTTGTTTAGCAAGATCCTTGACACTACATGTCCAATCACAGTAGTATAGTCTCAACACCAAACGGTTGGGCTGCTCAGAGATTCCAGACCATTTTGTTTAAAATGGAAGGACTGAGATTTGGAGTTGTTTTTTCTCTCATAGAAGCTGGCATTGTTTTTCAAATAAGCCGAAATTATTTCTAAGAGCTAACATGTGGTTCGATGGTAAACTATTTGTTATCATAAATCATGACTTTGTTTTGATCATGTTTCAGGTTAGCTCCATCCAGAACCAGATGCAGTCCAAGGGTGGCTATGGGGGTGGCATGTCCGCCAATGTGCAGATGCAGCTTGTGGATACTAAGGCGGGATAGCGCTGGTGACCCCCGTTTGGTGAGTATGGGAACTGCAGGCCACACATAGTTGGGGACGCAAATAGTTTCTAAAGAACGGAGAGGGCTGAGGCAGTAGCGCAGGTGGTAGGCACAAACCTAGCAAACACATGAGGCCTGAATTAGTCTCCAGCACTGGTGGGTATGGCTGGTCTTAGTGAATGAATTGGGATCCCACTGGAGTAGGACATAATTTTCTTGTGGCTGAATCTTTCGAGTGATGATCAGGCCAGTTACATTTTGAGTATTAGATTTTTTTCCTTATGAGGAACATGAAATGCTGTAAGACATAAGAGGCTTGGATTAAGATTTCAAAAGCAAGATTGATCTCCTATGTGTCCTTTCAACAAGAGGGAAATTGATACTCTAGTAATTTTATATTGATTTTTATGTATAGCACTAGTATTTGCATGACTGTATTTCGTTCACTGTAAAGAAAATCAGCTTTAAGAAACATGAACTCTGAAACTGTAAAAATAATCTGGATTTTTCTTTTTAATTTTATAGGTTATTGAGAATTTTTGTTTTCCACTTTTTTTTTTTGTCTCGTGATTGCTTTTCTTTTCAATTACACAAAAGAAGTGTGGTGGCGTCTTGTTCAGCCCGTTGTGATTCCTCCAGTGACACGTAACTGTTCGCTCCGAAACTGCGCATGTCAGATGACCCTACAGTTCCTCCAGCTGCCTGCATGCCAGGGACTCGTCGACTGAGTTCTTTGGATTGTGGCTTAATTCTCAATTTTTAGCAATATGGATCTAATCATAGCATGATCTTTTTCGTGAATGCTATTTTGCATTTTTTTCCCATTTTAAATATTTCCACCTTTAGCCTTATGATTTTACTGGTAAGCAAGGATCTGATATTATTTGTAATCGGTCACATTTATGTATATTTTGGAAGGTATGAGACCCACAAGCACAACTGGGATTCATTGGAAACTTCAGCAGAGACGATATCTGCATGCTTCATGGAGTTGCTTCATAGGGGGGTGGGGATCGTGCTGCTAGTGGAGACCGTTTGGAGCTGTGCACAGCCCTGTCACAGCCTAGAGCTTATTTTAGAAGTGTGGATCTCTGGCTTATTAGAATTATAATAAAAAACCGCTTGCATTCGTAAGGCATTCATTCTGTTGTAAATGTTCAGTGTATTTATTTTGAGAGCAAGGACCTTGTAAACAGGTGTGGCGATGTAGCTTCATGCTAGGCTTCATTCCCGTAGCCAATCTGTTTGTGTACTCATTCTATTTTTGTTTTTATCTTATGTCTGATACTCTGTCATCTAGTTATTTCTAGGAGCAGTCTGTTGAACATTTGGCCTGCACTACTAACTGCAGACTTGAGTTGTTGGCCTTTCCATAGTCTACATATTTTGGGGGCAGTGGAAATTGGCAAGAGCAACACACCTGAATTCTTGCCAGTGACACAGCCTGCACCCAGACTTTCAGGGTGCCGGTGAGAATCCTTTGCTCAGGTTCCAAAATATGTTTGTTCTTTACCATTGTGTACAAATGCTGCTTCTGCCCCATTGGGGTGTGGGTGTTTAGGCAGTTTGTGGTTTTATATTATTAATGTTTAAATCCTATTTCCATCTCAGCCCTGTCTAACTTCTTTTCCTAGGAGTTACATTTCATGCAGTAGATGGGGTTCAACTTAAAGAGCTACAAGGAACTAGGTAGTTTAATAAAGAAAAGAGTGATCATTTCTCTTACCCTTTTCCTTAGTCCTCAGGTTTTTATGAAACAGGTAACTGAATAAATATTAGTAGATTTATAGAGGAAAAACATGAGAGTAATTATTCTTTTAAAAAAATATTTACCCAGTACCATGAGACACTAGATTACTCAATGCTTGTGTTTCTATAATTTTGAGCCTTCATAGGTGTCAGTCCCAGAGAGAATCTGTCAAGAAAAGACATTTGGCATTTCAGGAGTCCAATGCTTAGTAATCAAAATCAGCAGTTTAGACTTGAATTCCTCTGTTGTCATTAACTCAATGTGTAGCAACTGATTCGTGCAAGCTCACAAAAAGACAGATTGAGCTGCTTAGCACTGATGCTGTGTAGTCTACTTCTATATTGACTTAAAATTAATACAAGCTTTTTTACTTGTAATGTGACTCCCAGAACAAAGAGTACAGGGACCCATGGTCCCAGCTCCAAATACTCTAGTAAGCACTGGAGTTTCCGTGGAAAGCCAAAGGCTGCTCTCATCAGCCAGTGACTGTATCAAAAGCTGCAGCTGCCACCGCCACCAAGAAAGGGGCCAGTAAATTTTTTAAAAATTTCTAAGATTTTAACCTAGAATATTTTTTAGGGAAGCTGCATTCCCAAGAATTGTGCCCTATGTATTTCATTTAAAAATTGAAGCTCATGGGATTTTTCCCATTCAAATTTCATTCGATTGTTACAAGTTAAGGGAAATGAGCAAGCTAATGACCAGGTGCTTTCCTGTGGTATGGGTATGAAGTAAAATAAGCATAAAGCAGAAATGGTAACTGGGTTCAGCATTTCCAAAGCAGCATTATCTGTGGGCCTTTGAAAATAATTTGAGTATATTAGCTTCCATTTCTGCAAAGTTTGCCTTGATTTTGTTTAAATTGACTTATGCTCAGCAACCAGAAGAGAAAATTGACATATTTTTATAATATAAACATACATTTTTTTTTGTACATTGTGTTCATTCTTGAATAAAGTGAGGTCAGTGTTGGCTTGTAGATATTAAATAAAAGTATTGATTTTTGAGTCAATAAATGTTTTTCTTTCAGTCTGGTTTGGGTTTGTGTTTTCTTTCAAGTATTTACCGGAAGTAACTTAAGCCAGTATGACTTTTCCCTTGAAAAGAGGATTTGAATAGGGCTGGAGTGATAGTACATTGAGTAAGGTGTGTGTCTTGCTTGTAACCTTTGAGTTACAGCACCTCATGTGATGCCTTGAGCATGTTGCCCTCCAAAAAACTAGATTTGTGAAAAAATTTTAATTATATATTATTAAAATATACACACACTTAAAAGAGAACAATTTAATACATATTTTAAAATTTGAGAATTCTAAGCCTCAGTCACATTTCAAGTGCTTGCTACCATTATGGTAAGCTATAAGATGGGGAATTTTGGGGGAAATGGTTCAGTATCTCTGATACTCCTCAAAAGCATCTGCTTACAGACTCTGTATAAGATTTTGTGCAGAGTTTGAAGAAAAAAGTTATTTCAAAAAGCTTTTGCTTGAGTCTGTCTTCATCCCATGACCAGAAGCTCTAAAAGGAAATGAGGTTAAATAGCAAATCAAAATCCTGGATCCAGTAGTAAGACATCCCAAATAAGAAGTCATGTGGACAACAAAATTATGCATTTACCAAGAACTTTATTTTGATTACTCCTTCAAAGGACATAAGAACCCCAAAGTAGAATATATTTATAAAAAGTGTCAGAAACACAACTTGCGAAACTTGTGAAGATGCAAAATCTACAAGCTTGAGATAAGAAAATGACATCCCCTCTACTTTAAAGCAACTGAAATTTTACCTTTAATTTAAATGCCTGTCAGTCTGATCAGACAGCTTAAGCCATTAAATGACTCTTGTTAACCTGTTTTGGCACTCTCACTTTTATGTTTTATAATAAGGTTCTATTGCCTCTGCCCCTCACTCCCGGGCTGGAGCTTTTATAAGCTCCTTTTTTTTTTTAATGCGTTCTATCAAGACAGACTCATTCTTAATCATCTGATTTGGCCTGTCTTGGTATCCAGGTGGGTGGACATCGTTTTTATTTGGGAAATTATTTTCAACCTGGGCTTTTACAACATTTGCTCTCAAGGACTACTGGAGTTGGCATCATTGTACAAAAGAAGAGTAAAGCCAAAGTGTAATTCCCAATTTTCTGTTCTGTAAATTCAGGCTCCTGAGAGCCTTCACAACTCACACTCTTGGATCCCATAGTTTTAAACGCAGCCTGTCTTGGAAACCCAAAGGTTTCCTAGGCAGCTTTTTGTTTTCACTCCTTTCAAAACATTTTTTTATAGAAAAATTTTAATGATGTTCTTAATTTGAGCCATTTAAATACATCCCTGACATTCAGTTTTGAAAGGCTTCATTAGTTTGCTTAAACACTAATTCTGTGCCTGGATCAGCCTCCTGGGCCCCATTTATGCCAATATGCAACGTGTTCACGTAAAACTTTTCATAAATCATACAAAGAGGTAAAGTCACTATACTTAATGCTTTTTGGCAGAACCGCGATTTTCAAAATACATTTTTTTGCTCCATTATCCCACAATGTCTGCTTTCTTACTCCTGATTTTCACTGCTTGTCGAGTCTATAATCCATCCAGGCTGTTACATAATTTAAAAAAAGGAGGGGGGGCTGTGCAGATTGTGAGGTCCCTTCCCAAGATTCAGATTTGGCAGAAAGGAGCAATGTGGAACCCCTCAAGCACATGATATTCACAGATGCCTCCCAAAGATCTCTTCTCCAAATGATGTCACTTCAGGAGCTGAGTTTCAATTTCAACACAGAATGGGTGGTAGGTGGGATGAAAGAAACATTGTTTCAGTCACACAAAGTCCCTGAAATGAAGCAGAAAGGCCATGGCTGCAAAGGAGCAGCCTGGTCCAGCCTGTGCAGCAGCTCAGGCCACTCAGCCAGCAGCCAGCGGGATCTGCTACTCCTGCAACTTGAAACAAGCTAGCAGCTCCTCCCTCTGCTTCCTTAATCCTGAAGGAAACTCCTGGGACAATGGAGAAGTCAAAGGACCTGAAGAATTCAACTGGTCCAATTTGTGATTAACAGAAGCATCACCAAAAAAAAAAAAAAAAAAAATGGCCTCGAAGCAAACGACAACAAAGGAATGATCTCAAAAAATTTCTGCATTTATACAATGACACTGAAGACTTGTGGAATTTATATCATTTCTCTGATTATTACCCAAACACAGCAGATATTCTCAGAAGACCAAGTGGATTGCAACCTCTGGTCTGCAGACTTAAAACGTTTAATAAAATAGAAAATTCTAAGAGAAAATTACTTTGAATTATTTTTCTATCTACAGACAAACTGAATGATAGGTGGCAAAATAATAGACATGCAAGGTAGCAAAAATGTTAAATTGCTTACAGGAACTGAAATGTTATTTTTAATAGAAATGCATTTAAAAATTGCTTATTGAGCACCTTGTTTTCATATTCATCTTAGGCACTGGGATTATAAAGTGAATAAAACAAGTTTTGTTACTATTACCCTCCACAAGCATAGTAGTGGGTGAGAAAGACATTAGGCCAAATAATTATATAAAAGGTGACAAAACAGAAAATGACAAGTATTCTGGACAAATCATTGGGGATAAGGGAAAGGAGTATCACACACTGAAATGTTGATATTTAAACTAAGATCTCAGAAAAATGCTGACCCTGTCCTGTGGTTCCCCCCCGCCCCCTGCCCCGGCCAAAGAAAAGCATCTCTTCAGAAAAGACGAAAAATGATTGTTCTGCTCTAAACCTAAAAAGATACACAAAGATGATTTTAGTGTGTGTGTATGGCGGGGGGGGGGGGGGGGGGAGTATGGGACGAGGTGCCCAGTGGTATCTGGGGCTACTCCTGATGATGCTTGTGGGGTCCCATATGTAATGTTGGGATTGAACCTGGGGTTGGCTGCATGCAAGGCAAGAATCTTAAAAGTATGTCTTTGGGCCTGGAAATTGAGTGATGAATGAAAGCAGCACATATCCCTAGAACAGAGTTGGCCCGGCAAATAAAATAGCTTGAATGAAAAATAAGGACAAGCCAGTGAAACGTTGTAAGGAGAAACAGGGCCAGAGATGGTAAGGCTCTAGAATGGGGTCTTCTCCAGAAGACATCCCAGCCTTAAAGTATAAAGGCGTGAAAACACACACCTCAAGAGGGAAGATGCATGCAGCGACCTGTGCCCAGGCGATATATGCAAGCAACAGCACAAGGGCACCCTAAGGCTCTGGTCTTGCACGCACCCAACCAACGGGTTAGATCCCCAGCACTGCATACAGTCCCCCAAGCACAGAGCCATGAGTAAGCAGTGAGCATAGCTGGGGGTGGTCCCCAAAAAGAAACTTAAATGTAAAAATATAGCCACAGAAGGGATAAGTAAATTTGCTGCTTTTTGGGGGGTCACACCTGGCATTGCTTAGGGCTTACTCCTATCTGCTCAGGGGATCACTCCTGGCAGGCTCAGGGGACCATATGGGTTGTCAGGGATTGAACATGGTCAGCCACATGGAAAGCCAAATGCCCTACTTCCTGTACTACCACTTCAATCTCCACTGCTTCATCTTTTGATGGCATAAAGTTTGTAGCTATCAAAGGTGATGGCTCAAAAGACTGCCAACAACACCTCTGAATATAAACCATCTCCAACTCATCAGGAGCCCAACTTCATGGAGACAGCAGAGGCCCAAGTGAAGATTCCCATCTCTAGACCCAAATTAGAAGGTCATGTCCCTATTACTCCATTCAGAGATGTACCCCTCCTCCCAACCCCGCAAGTGGTGGCACCTTCAGGTCTTAAATCAGCCTTGATGGGGAGAAACTGGTATAGAAAGGAAGGAGTTAAGGTTATTAGAGGACCGACCCCGCTTTCTGCAAGCATCGCCTCTGCTTCTCAGCTTTGTGCATCACGCAAGGGATCGTCCCTGCCCCTATGTGAGGATAATGTATGTGCTCACATATGGCAATGCTGGTATGGTTGTAATTTGGTCAAAATGTTTCTTTTTTACCTGGTGTATCTTTTTTAAACAAAATGAAAATTTTAATGTGGGAGGCACCTGGTAGTGCTCAGGGATTTCCCCCCTGTTCTATGCTTAACGGTGACTCCTGGCAGGGCTTGCGGGTTGTGTGCGTGTGTGGGGGGGAGGGGGGGGTGGGTGATGATGACGATGATGTCCTATGTGGTGCAAGGATTGAGGTTGGCACCATGCATGGCAAGCACCTTAGTCTCTGCACTATATCTCTGGGGCCTTATTTTAAGAATTTATGTCAAAGTTCTCTATACAAGCACAGACAAAAAGGAATGTGTATACAAAGATGTCTGCATACAATTCTTTACAATTATTGAGGGAACCCTAAAAGAACTGAAAACACAAGTGGTATTCGATTACATGTTTGAAAGTGAATGACCCATGACCCTCACTTTTTTTTTTTTAAATATTACTTCCATGGTAAATAGTATAATGCAAAATAACATTCCAATAAAATAGATTAGGGAAAGGACGTGAGGATAGCAGATCAGGAAGTTCCAAACCTGAGCTTTCCCCAAATACCAAACAATATTCAGGAAAAAATGCTTGAGAAGAACTCTAGAAAAGAGCAGTGAAGTTGCACCAATCAAGTGTATATCTGAAACTGAAAGTTCACACTCAGGTCTGGGCTGTGATGGGGATATGGGCCACTGCAGGGGCTCAGGATTTGTTCAAGCTGGCTGTGGTTTGGGATTACTCCTAGCTGGCTCAGGGAATCATATGGTGTCACTGTATGATGTCAGGGACCAAACCTGGAACTCCTCCAATGCAAAGCATGGGCTCAGCCCACCGACCTACCTCTCTGACCCCAGTGATACAACTTGGCAAACTGTTCACTCATGGCCCACCCTCTTCCTGGTGCAGAACAGTTTTTCCTGGTGTAGAACAGTTTAACTGGGATGAACCCTGAGGACTGAAGGCAACACATGAAACATGCTTGTAACTTTTGGGCTAGTCTGGGGCTGCGAGAGCCGTGGTTTGCTGCCTGACTCAGTACCGATGGG